AATGAAGATAGAATAATCCATATTTACTTCTTACTTTTTCCCATTTCTCTCTCCCTAAAGATTACCATGATATGGTTTCAGGGACAAAAAAAATATTGAAAGGCACAATTGTGAAGCAGACGCAAGAAAAGTAGAGAGCTAACACTATTGTCCTACTAAAGCTGTCCTACTTTTATAATGAGTACAATAACCAGTTACTTAATGCCTATCTATGTGTTAGAAGTTGCTGAAGATTTGATTATTCCCACATGTTGAATTATGAGACAAGCAGTATTAACACTTAACTTGTGACAATACTATCAAAAGAAAACTCAAATATCCACTAAAAATTTTCAAATTTCTATAATAATTAAATGTGTTAAAAATAACAGGCTTAGTTATTAAATTTATATATCTTATCAGCTTCCTTGTATAATAAGAAATATTAAATTTAATATTTGAATTACAGCTTAAATTACTGCACTATTTCCCTACTTTGAATATTGCATTTCTTTTCATTTTCTATCCCAAGGAAGAGGTCATCCTTGATGCCTAGCCATAGTTTCTTCATTTATATGGCCATTTTATGTATAAGTTTAATGAAGCTCTAAATGACCATATAAATTTAGTAGAGTTTGAATTAACTTGTACTCATATTTTCTACCAAGGAATATATTTATAACTTTCTCTTTTATCTCCATTTAGAAGTTGAGAAACATTATATTTCAGAAGGATTAAAACAGTGGAAATGACCATTAATAACTGTTATGAATAATTATTCATTTCAACCTTCAATCGTTATGAGGAATCCTCTCATAGTACATTCCCGAGTGAAAATTCTCATCAAATCAGAAAATTCCAAATATTTAACAAATGATTCAAACATTAACTGAAGTCACTGGATAGTATAATTGTGGCAGATGAATAAAGAGTTCACCTAGATTGCTATAACCCAATTTCCGTATCTTGTGACTATTACAATAAAAAGGAAGTTTGCAGATGCCACTAAGAATCTTCCTTTTAAGTGAATAAAATAGTTTTATTTAGAGAATATAAAAGAGACAATGAGAGAAGCTGGGGAGAGACATATGTGCGGTGAAGACAGAGCATGCACTTTTTCCCAAAAGGAAAATCCAAGATAAGAATCTTTAGATAAGATTATCTGGAATTATTTGTTTGGGCTCTGAGATGCAATACAAATTCTTGATATGAAAATGGCAGAAAGAAGTTTGACTATGTACAGTTTCTATGAAGAAGATTCTATGAAGAAGCAATAGTAATAGGTTTGGAAATTATATGCTTCTTACATTAAAGACAAAAAAGAGAAAGTGATCATTAGAATTCTGAAAACTAGAAATGACAAGGAAATCAGCTGAAGAAGTTCAGTCCTACTGACACCTTGATTTTGGCCCAGAGAATCCATTTCAACTTCTACCCTCTACTACTGCAATAAAAGAAACTTTAGGACATGCCAAGGCCCAACTTCACTGCTTCACAACTAATCTCTGCAGAGATGCGAAACCTATGAAAATTCCAGGTACAATGATTTTTAGCTGAAAACTTTGGTATCTTCTTGAAGTGGGGATAGGCAGTCAGTCTCCAATCCTCTTTACTTCCTGGTATCATACTTACATCCTACAGCTGCCATCACGTCCAGGGCTCTACATAAATAATGTAAATAAAATTATATATATATATATGTATATATATATATATATATATATATATATATATATATATATATAGCACAGTGAGTAGGGTGTTCGCCTTACAAGCGGCCAACATGGCCGACCTGAGTTCGATTCCTCCGCCCCTCTCGGAGAGCCCGGCAAGCTACCGAGAGTATTCGATATGCCAGACACAGTAACAACAAAGTCTCCAATGGAGATGTTACTGGGTCCGCTCAAGCATATATATATATATATGTTGTCTCAAGACCTTGGAAAGCTAAATTTTAAAAAGTCATAACAAACAAATATAATATTTTCTTTTAAAAAATTTTCAGGAAAATATTCACTTGGTAATATAGAAGAGTAAATGTATTCTAATTTTTAAACAAGGCAAAAAATTCAATTTATATAACTAGACACTTGAAGGGATGGGGATTCAGTGTTAGAGGAATCAGGCAATGGGATGCCATTTTGCAAACATCATAATCGCTAATATTTTTATAACCCCAGATAATAAGTGAAAGAGCTGGAAAATTTCAAACTAGTAACTTAGAGAAAAGGACCAGAATCTCCCATGTTAGACAGAGCATTTATAACTTCACTAAAGGCTACTAAATTATATGACTCAAGAAAATCACTGGCATCTATTCAGACATGAATTCCCTTTTTGTGGTTTTAACCACAAAGCCTTTGTGGATCTAATAATACAAGGAAACTGTGGCATTTACTCTCACAGTTTGGAGCCCCAAATATTTCTCTAGTATTTTGGCTTTCACTATGGGCCCAAATAAATATTATGAGAAATGTTGATACTTTTGCAGGTTCTCTTTATAATCCATCTTTCCCTGTATTCCATACCAAACCTCTATCTTAGTTTTTAGATGACATAATTCTTTTCACTAGGCTGCAGAGTATGGAAGCCACTATATACCAGTGATTTTCAAGACAAGATGTTCTTGCTCTTTCTTTTGTACCCCAAACCTAAAAACTGGATATTTTATTAGGTACAAGTACTATTCTAAGGTTAAGAAATACACATTTAAATTCAATGATTAGGTTTGTTTCCAGTCTGAAGAAGCCCATGTTCTCTTAAACATGTATCTTTTTCCCTACACATTTCTCTAAGTAGAATTCATTTAAAACTATTTGAAAATGAAAAAGAAATTCAACGGTTATTAATATTTCTACCTAGGCAAAAACATTAATTGTCCTCAATTAAATGAAGACTCCAGGGTTCAGTCAAATATCAATAGAAAGCAAAGCAGTAAATAAGAAAACTGATTGGAGAAAAAACAATCAACATTTAACCCTCTGGTCCTACTGCTGAATGTGTAAGTTGAGACAAGATACCTAATTTTTCTGATTATCTTTTCACTAACATTTAAAATGATGATGATAATAATGGCACTTACCTCCTAGAGCTATTATCTACATATTTATATAATTATATACATATTATATATAAATGTGCTTAGTACAGAGCTTAGAAATATTAAGCAATTAATGTCAGATTTTATATGACCTCATGGCCAATAAGAATATGAACTGAAATATTTCATTAAAATACAATTTGTTACAATGTAGCTTAATAAATTATGATGAAAGGAAAAGGCAACAGAGACCTTTAGATACTTAATGGTCAAAGAAAATATTTTATGAGAATATATCAGTTCCTTTACCAATACAAATTGCCTTGTATTTTCAGCATTAAATTGATAAAATTATATACAAGAACAATGTATTATTCCTCTCACTGAATAACTTCAGTTTCACAGAAGTAAATACCCACATATTTGTGCTCACATAGGTGTGTCTGTAACTTTTTTCTAACTGACTTTTTCCCCTCTTTACTCTCAAATTTAGGAGTAGCAGGCCCTCCCGTTGATCATGGATTTGCTCCAGCGGGCCCAGTAACGTCTCCATTGGAGACTTTGTTGTTACTGTGTCTGGCATATCGAATACGTCACGGGGAGCTTGCCAGGCTCTGCTGTGCGGGCGAGATACTCTTGGTAGCTTGCCGGACTCTCCAAGAGGGGCGGAGGAATCGAACTCGGGTCGGCCATGTTGGCTGTGTGCAAGGCAAACGCCCTACCGCTGTAGTATCTTGCTCGCACCCGTGACATATTCAATATGCCAAACACAGTAACTCTCAAATTAAAACTAAAATAAACTGATCTATTTTGTTTAAAAAAGCCAACTGCATTAAACTGCATTTAAATGAAATGCAAACTCTTTTCCCTGGATTTCAAAGAGCTACATATTCCAGACCCCTTCACCCCTGCTTTTCTTTCTGAACCTATCTGCTATGACTCTTCCCCAAGTCCTAGGTAGATCAGTTTTCTCTCTGCATGGTCACTATAAGAGTCAGTTCTGCTTCACATATCACACTGTTGTCTCTGTTTATAGTGCTCCTTCTCAAGAACTCTGCTAAGTTTTCTCTCTTTTTTTATTCAGGGCTTAAAGATTTGGTTGCTATTGGTTTCAACCACTAGTCCACAGACTGTTGCCAATTTGCAGAAATTTCCTGCCACTCAGTGAAAAAGTTATTTTTAATATAACATTTCACGTTTATTATATAAATATAAATATAATACATTTAATTTATTGTATACCTAAATTGTGCAGCAGTCTTATTATAAATAGTTATACATAAATATTATGTTATAAATTATGGGTTTTAATTCTATCTTGGTTATCAGAAATATTTATCCTATTTACACTGGTACATTGAGTTATACAAATCAAGTAGGCACCTTATTGTTCTCTATCTTTTTAATCTTTTTGAAGTCTCTGCATAGCACTTCATATACTATAAATTTTTCTGATTTATTTGTTTCTTTTTAAAGTTTCCTTTATGTATCTTTATTCTCTAGAACATGAGGCTATGATTTGATTCTGTTCACCTCTATGCTGCCTTTACTTCAAACAGTAAGTATTAACAGTACTGAGTCAAGCTTCAGTGAGACAAATAAGATAGATAGAAACTAGTGAAGGTTATTTAGGTTCTTTTTCCATATATATATTTATTTTAAAAAGGCAAACACAGTTCTTGTTACTATCATGGTCTTTGTGCATACATTCTTGCACTAGTCCAATATTTAATATGGACAAATGCTTAATTATTGAGTCAAAAGTATGCAATTTAAATTTTGATAGTTATTTCCAAATCAAATTTTAACAAAGTTAGACTAATTTACATTTTGAGTGGATTCTTCAAGACTTCTTTTAAGTGACTTGATGACATAATATTTGAGCCAAAGTCTATCAATTTAGAAGCAGAAGAAATTTTATAATCACATAACCTTGAAATAAAAATCTGATAGCCAAAGCATACAAATCAACCATAGGTCTTTAAAATGCCTACAATTAATGATAATTGAGGTATACAAATTTACAATGAGTGACAATTGGGAAACTTACTATCAAAGTGATGAGTGAATTACTTTCAAAGTCACATTACCTGTGTCTTTGTTTAGAGTTTTTACAGTGAATAGTGATCTTCCCAACCAACATTCATCATAATGAAATATTTTCCAAGTACTGCAAATAATATTTGCCAAGTTATTTTCGCAAATTGAAATTTTCAGTCTATCAGCATTATATTAAGATGAAAGAAAACTTTAATGACAAAAGCAGATATTCTAAAGGGTTTAAATTCCATGAATATACTTTTCCCCAACAAGATTTATCTTCCTTTTGAGTCATTTATGGCAAACATCTTCAGAGTTCTATATAGCAGTAACTGGGGGGAAAAGTCTACTTACAAATTAACTATATGTTTATTTCAAAGTAACTTTATCAACAAAGTTATATTAAAGTAGGACACCTGATAAGTCCTCCATGCCAATTTTGAAGACATTGTCTGCTAGTACAAAACCAGCCAATGATATTTATAATACAAGATGAAGTCAGAAAACTAAAATCAGAGATATAACAACATTTAGTCTTAACAGATCTTGAAAAATTCTGCCAATCTAGTTCACATAATAATAAACTGATTGAAACACAATTTTCCTATAGATTACTGAAACATACCACTTACCACTTAAGATGTTTTCTACTGTTCATCTCTTTTACTCAAGAGTAAAAGAGGATATTCTTATCTCAGAAGTTTCATCATTGAAATCAAAACCCCCAAACTGCTAACTTAATACAGAAAATGCAATTATAAATTAAAAATATATGAGTGTAAAACATCTAAATTAATAAATATAAAAAGGGAGGCTACTTACAGCAGGATGTCCAGTACAATAGGTATAGCTGGCATGCGACTGGTAGTGCAAGCTTGCTCTTGGAAAGGAGTATGTATTCCAGGCTGGTTGGCTGCTGTTCCAATGCGAGCTGAAGCCAGGGCTCATGGTCACTCGTGACTTACTGGTCTGATAGGCTCTCACTGTGGAGCTAGACTATCAAGATGAAAGACAAGTAATGTAAACTTGGTTCTCCATAAAAACCCAAGTCAATTATAGGTAGCAGCATGTATTCTCATGCATGATTGAAGTCAGCTTAATAAGGTAAATGACTGATTTTTTTAAGACAAAACACTGAATATTGCTCTAATTTGGATATAAGTATATTTTTAATAGAGAAAATTTTACTGCATCACAAAAAAACATTGTTTTTATTGAAAACAGTATTTCTAGTTGCAACATGCAATTCCAGACTTCTGAAATGAGATGTTTTAGTACCAAAACAATGGTGATATTTTCAATTACATAAATGCTCTTTCATTATAGCCTTTACTTATAACTTCAACATTAATTTTATGTAGATGCAGAGCATATTTTTTGTTGCATGCATTGAATTGAGGTACAGATAGGTTTCTAGCTCTAAATGGCTTCTGCATTTCATAAATATATAGATTTCCTGAGGGCAATATCACCAAAACCTAGACATATTTCAACATATCATCATGTACAGCCTAAAGACAGCAAAGTGATGAAGGATTTAAATCATCATTTACCCAAACTGGCCCTTCCAATGTAATTAAAAACAGAACTTGGAAAATATCAACTTGCTAAATGTTAAATATATCTGCTTGCTTACAATTGTATATAGGGTTGAAGGAACTAAAAACAAGACTCTCTTGTATCTTCTGTTGTTCCTTGTCCTCAAAAGACCATTTCAAACAAGGGATACAATAGTTTCTTTTCAGAAAACTTTCTATTATCAAACTGTAATAGTTACTCCCGAGTAGCATAGTAACTTTCACAATAAATTCTATTTATAAATCTATGGGCACATGCCAACTCAATCACTGAGAAAATGTGCTAATCTTGTGGACATTATATTCAGAAAATCCAATGATGAAAAATTTCACCCAAGACCTTGTGTTCTATTGAACTAGATTCTGTGCTCATTAGACATTTAAACAACTTTTCCAAAGACAGTTATGGGCATCTCAAAAGTAGTATAATTTTTAAAAATCTGGGTCTGAGCAATTAAAATTCACCAGACAGAGCCAATATCTTCCTTTTAACTTCAATATTTTTGGAAAAGGAATTAAAACTTGCAATTTATTGATGGTTAAGGACTTTAAAACTTCAAAGCCAAGACTGGAAAACACAATCTTCTTAAGATATACAAATTTATGTGGTCTTCTGTTTTTCCATAGTCTCATTCTCATCTTCACCCTAGTCATGTAACTCAAGTGCATAGTAGTTCAATAAGATATACAGATGCAGCAGATATTATAGAAAACTATTCTAGAAAGGCAACAGTATACACTTATGTGCCTACTTATACCACTATGAGAATGTCCATTTCCCTCCACAGTTATCTAAGGACACTCTTCTCAGCCCTCCTGGCCTCAATCTGCAAACCATGCTAAGCTTACACTATGCTTTTTATATTCCACATGTGAGAGAAATGATTCTCTAGCTATTCATATCCTTCAGGCTGACTTTACTCTGTATGGAATACTCTCCAGTTCAATAAACATGATGGCAAATTGCAAAATTTCTTTTCTTATAGCTAAATTGCATGCCATTAGAATGAACATTCATAAAAATGGGAATTTTTGGTTATAAGTTATAGATGCTATATTCTTTATAAAAATCAGTTATTCATACCACATACAGTGACTTCAAGAATTTAATTACCCCTCATAGAACTATGCTAGGATCTAAAGTATCTTGATTTATGCTCTACATATCTGCATTTATTTTCATTAAAATCAATCACTTTCCATTGCTCCCAGTTGAATCCATACCACAACTTTTGAAAGACTAAACATGGTTAAGTCTTTTGTCTGTTTTCAAATTTATACTTGATCAGGGAATTAAAATTCTTGGAAAAGAAGGCAGGGTATGCGTAAGCAATTTTGTAAGTGCCCTCACCTCTTGGTTTAATTCTGTTCCCAAATAGTTCCAGTTTCACCTCTGTGATTTATCCTGGTGGTCTTCCTCCTACAAACTTCATTCTCTTCCTCTTTCACAAAGTTCAAGAGGAAGTTACATCACATATTTAGTACCGTTTTTGATGGTCTTGGTTTATGTTCACCATTGCCTTCCTTCTCTCCACAACTCTCACAGTGTAATTCAGACACTTTCACATGTTATTTTGTATTATTTCCAATACATTTGAATTGAAGCTCTTCTACCTGACTGACAGATTAATGAGGTCAAGATCAGGTGTTGCCTTTTCCATAGCTCAAGGACTCTTTATTCTCCTTGACATTTGAAAGCTCTGTTTATCCACTCATCACTTCTATCAATCTCCCTTTAATGTCAAGACCCTTCTGATTGTAACTTCTTGTCTCGCCTCCTTGATACTCTTTCTCTTAGTTCTCTTTAATTATGTCTTTTCCCAGATCTTAATAATCAGCTCTGTATTCTTCACACTTTTAATTCCCTCCTTTGCAAATTTGAGCATTGTCAAAGCTTTAAACATTATTTTTAAGAAAATAAATCTCAGATACAACTTAAGGGTACAAACTCTTTCCTAAATTCTAGTCCTAAAATCTTAAAATGTCTGTAGGAATGGATGTATAAATAACAATTTTCATAAATAAAATGATTTTAATTGCTGAATACAGAATGAAGTGAATTTATTTCACTCTAAAATTTCAATCCCTTGATAATTTCCCTAGTTTTATTAATGTTATAAAATATTTTGAAGGCAATAGTTTTGAAACAATTCAACAACATAAACTCATTTTTCTGCCCTCCAACTTCCATTATTAATGTCAACAAATTCACTACATTTTTCAATAGTTCTTGAAATGTTATTGTTAATCTATTTTTAATGTTCATTCATTTCATATAACTAAATCTCTATCAGTAACCTCTATCTTAAAACTTGTTTGATATATCAAATTACTTTTTCCTAGAAGACTATTTTTATTGTTATTCACTCATAAGATAATGTTTGGTAACTCTCTATAATCTATGGACAAAAAACTTCTGAATCCTTTATTTTAGATTCCTTTGTAAACAATATTGATAGGTTTACTTTTAGGTATACTTGTTATTACCTATAGGGCTAAACAGATTGTTACTACAGATATGATTTGCATGTTGACATTATTGTCACAACTGTTTACTTCCTATAATGTCCTCTCCTCCTTCAGCTCACACTTCAAAGGTTCTGCCAGACTTGATTTTACTGAAGTGCTCTTCAAACCCTTAACTACAGTCAAAAGAGATGTTATTCCTTAGTAGGAACTGGCAAAACTGATTTCCTGTCATGGTAGCTGAGTCTTTCATTTACAGAGCTACCCAGGAATTCTATTCTGTAAGATAATCAACATAACATGACATTTTTTAGCTTTCTTTCACAAAACAATTCTTATGTTCCAACATACATCTTTAGGGGTAGGTGTCTCAGTTCTCTTTTATCAGAAGGCAATATTACAAGAATCTTTCATTTTGGAAGTAATTCTAGAGAAATTCAGTAAGAAAGTAAGAGGTGTAACAGAGAAAATAAGATCCCTCAAATTTACAAACTAAGTCAGACTGGGGAGAAACAAGTTCAATTCCTACTAGAGTTCTCTAGGAGGTAGACCACAATATGATTCAGAAAAAAATTAATCAACATACAAAGAAACTGGGGATTTTTAACCTTTGATTCCATTAAGTCATCGGATGGGAAATACTGCTACGAATATTAATCTAGAGTTTATGTCTTGCTGAACAACACAGACCCAAAAGAAAGTTACAATGTTAAGAATCCAAGGAAATTGTTAACATTCCCTGAGACATCAATTGTCCATGGCAATTAGAATATAGAGAGTTCAGAAAACTGAAGTACAAAGAAGGGACAGTCAGAATGCTGAAAACATTTGCTACTAAGTAAATGACTCCCTGAACTGCTTTGTTTCTACCATGGACACTGGAATTTTCCAGTTGAATAACCCTGAGCAGAATCCCAAAACATTGGTCAAATGAACTTGACTAGTCTACCATTCAAGACTTAAAATTGCAATGCACTGAAAATTTAAGTTTTCTCTTCTATGCGAAAGTTTCTGCTGTTGTACACCATACCCAGCTGTGCCCAGAACTTCCACCTGGTTCTATACTCAGGAGTCACTACTCAAAGGGTTCAAGGAACCATATAGTGATGCCAGTATCAAACCAAGGTCAGCCACGTGCAGCACAATCACCTTAATTCCTGCACTATCTCTCCAGCCCCAACTGTTCCTATGTAATATTTCATAAGTCAAACTGTTACAAAGGGAACAGGTAATTACAATTAATATTGATGGGGATTTTTACATTTTGAGTCTCTAAATTTACCTACCAAATAATATTACAGTAACATCTAGTAAAAACAGAATTATTCTGACAAAGACACAGCTGGTATGAAGAAGTTTCAGGTAAAGAGCTTGGCATCATCCTATTGTTGGTCAGGGTACTACTTCCTCTGTAAATTAAGCACTGCAAAATAAGAGCTGAATGCTATTTTTGGTTTTTGTTGTAGAAGTGAACATTTTCATTCTGTTTACATTAGTGTAGACTGGTACTAAAATGTGACTTTCTCTTATGAACTTCTAGAAAAGAAAAGTATATATATATATATATATATATATATATATATATCAGTTGAAAATGAAAGTGAGTCCTGCAAGAGTTCAAGGAAACTGATATGAAAGAGGATGACGGGTACGTGAAGGAATGCTTGATTTCTTATTTTGAGTGGATATTACATGAATGCACACATTTGCCAAATTGCATTAAATTAAACACTTAATATCTTTATATTTTATATTATCTTCATTATATTCAAAGGAAAACATACTACTATTGCAAAACAGTGATTGTAAATTATCCATGGCAATTAGAATAGAAAGAGCTCAGAAAAATAAAGCCAAATTCTCCCCAAATCCTAATTTTCTAGACCCCATAATTGGCTAATCTGAATTTTACTATCTTTTTTCCTCCTTGGCGCGTCCTCTGAGAGCAATGCC